AACAAACAAAAAGATTTATTTGTTTGTTTGAGAAAGAGAGAGAGAAGAAGGAGAGGGAGAGAAGCAGACTCCCTGCTGAGTGGGGAGCCCAACTCAGTGCTCGATCTTACGACTCTGAAATCCTGACCTGAGTGAAATCAAGAGTTGGATACTTAACCGACTGAGCCCCTCAATGTCTGTCTTTTTTTTTTTTTTAAAGATTGTATTTATTTATTCGACAGATAGAGAGCACAGGTAGGCAGAGTGGCAGGCAGAGGCAGAGGGAGAGGGAGAAGCAGGCTCTCTGCTGAGCAGGGAGCCAGACATGGGGCTCGATCCCAGGACCCCAGGATTATGACCCGAGCCGAAGACAGCTGCTTAACCGACTGAGCCACCCAGGCGCCCACCCCCCGCCCCCCGATGTCTTTCTTAAACTAAAGCCATCAGGCCTTCTTTTTCTTCTTTAGTAATTTCCTTTCTGAGTGGCTTCTTCAGTGATGAGATCTATGGACAGCACTTCATCCTCACTGATAACTTACACCATTTAAAGTACCATATACCTCTCAACTTGTATGTATTGTTCACAGTTGGCTATTATAATTGGGGGGTATTTTATTTGCATGCTTATTTATAGGTTTTTGTGGATCTCTGTAAACTCTTAGAAAGCTAGAAAGTGTCTATTTAATTGGTTTTATGCCTTCAGTAGGTGTGTTCTAGTAAGACATTGGTAGGTATTACTGCAGTATGAGTGCTGTGGCAGTGATATGGATGAGGCTTCTGTTGCAATCACCTGATTTTGCAGGGAGTCTGTTCATGCTCTCATCCTGTAATCATGGGTTCTTTCTCTTATTCTACTCCTAGTGTAGGGTGATGCGAGACCTCAAAGGAGTGCATGGGAAAGTTAAGGGTCAGTCCCTGGGCTACGCCTTTGCAGAGTTCCAGGAGCACGGGCATGCCCTGACAGCCCTACGCCACATCAACAACAATCCAGAGATCTTTGGGCCTCTGAAGGTGAGCCTCAGCCTGTGGGCGGACCTGTTCCTTGAGGGCCATTTGCAGAAAACCATTTCTCTCCTTTATGTCCAGTGTCCTCTGACTTGTGTGTGATGGGAAAGGGTAGCCAGTCCGTGGAGGGAATGAGCAGTGGTTCAGCTGATAAGATGATTAGCAGGAATTGAAATCTAAATTGGATAGACTTTGTGCAAAATGGCCTCTTACCTTTAAGTAGAGTAAGTGAGCAAGAGAGGGGGCAGGGGTGGGGGCAGCTCAGCTCACTGCACTCAGAAACTTAAGAAATCTACTGAATGACATTCTCCTTCTGACACAGAGACCGATAGTGGAGTTCTCTTTGGAGGATCGAAGAAAACTTAAAATAAAGGAACTGAGGATTCAGCGCAGCCTGGTATAGAACTGAAATGTTTTTCTGTTTTTGCTTGTTTTTTTTTTTTAAATTGTGGTCAGATAACACCTAACATAAAATTTACTATTTTTAAGTTCAGTTAAAACAGTCTTTTTCAGGCTATATTTAAACTCCTATTTTGTTCAGTTTGTGGTTCTGCACCCTTGAAGTAGGTCTCTACCTCATTAGGTTGTTACCCTTTACTCTTAGTTCCCTAGAACTCTCCGGGCCATCTTCTCTGCTGGCCTTTCTTGTGATAGGTCCACAGAGGGGAAAGGAAGGAGAGGGGAGCATCAGGCTGATGTTATTAGCAATAAGTAAGAGCAGTTCAGTGTTTGGTGACGTGCCTGTCAAAGGTAATGGCCCAGATGAAAGTTTTACATTGCTGTAGATTTCAGCTATCTCTTCCGTAATTCTTCCTTCTTCTTAGATGGCTCCAGAAACGTGCTGCCTGATAGTTTTAGTATTGTTTTTAATCTAGTGTGGTGTAAAGGAAAGAACGGGAACACGGTTACTCATGTTCAGACTCAGGCCGTACCCCTGAGTTCCATGGCAAGTTAAGTACCTCTCTCAGCTTCAGTTTAGTTTGTAAAATAGGATTACCAGTATCTGCCTCACATGACCAATAAGGATTAAATGGTCACAGTGCTTGGTCAGCGCATAATCAGTACTCATTCTCTTACCCCTCTTGCCCTAGGACTAGAAGGCCAGAGTATTCTTGATACCATAACTGCTACAGCTTTCATGGATAATATACCTGAATTTGCTTATATACCAAACATCTGCAGTCTTTGTGGTGTGTACCATGGGCCTGGCCAATGGAAGAGCAGTTTCAGTGGTTAATACAGCGGTCCTGGGTAGGAAAATCTGGGATCTGGTTCTTGTTTGAGGTAGCTTTGTTGTCCTAGGTGGAGACTGACTTACTGCCTTAAGCTATTGCTTCAGAGTGATTCTGAAACTAGAGGCTTAAAAAACGATTCAGATGGCTTTATTTGTTGCTTATACTTTTGTACATACTGCTCTCTCTGTGTAAAAGTGCCCCTTTCCCGGACTAAAGGATACTTCTCCACAGTTTCCATATTCAGATCAAATGTGCTTCCTCAAGTAGCATTTTCCCACCTTTCTCAAAAGAGGTAAGACCTCATAACTTGTACTTTCGTGACCTTCCTTAAGGTCTTTAGTTTTTCACTTTGCCTTATTTGTGTGTCTCTAATCCTCTACTGGTCCGTGAGTTCTCAAAGGTAGACACTATTTTTTCCCTCTGTACCCTTTTCTTAGAAACGGAGACTGGCGCGTTACAGGCATATAATGGATCTTTGTTGTATCAGTTATTACACTAATTTAATGTGGCTCTTTTTTTCCTTCTACCACAGTACAGCATAAATTCGTAACATACTTTATGTCTTCCTTCTCATAGCATCTTTTCCTAGTCTTCATTTCAATTTTTCCTTCTCTAGTGTTCTTCCTTTCTTTATGTAGATTTGAGTTTCTGACCTCAGTCATCTTCCTTCTCTAAAGAAATTCACTTAGCCTTTCTTGCAAGACAGGTCCCCTAGTGACAGATTCTTTTAATTTTGTTTGTCTGAGAAAGTCTTTATTTCTCCTTCACTTTTGAAGGATGATTGTACTGGATACAGAATTCTAGGTTGGTGACTTTTTCCCCCCCAAACTTAAATATTTCTCTGTTCTTTTTTACATGGCTTCTGAAGAGAAATTCAGTGTAATGATATCTTTGTTTTCTGTAGGTAAGGTATTCTTTATCTCACCCCCCACCCCTTCTTTCCAGATCTTCACTTTTGTCTTTGATTTTCTACAGTTTGGTATGATATGCCTGGGTAGAGAGTTTTTGGTATATATCCTGTTCGGTATTTGGCTGAGCTTCCTGCTAAAGGAATACTTAAATACTAAATAATAGTATGTTTAGTGTCTGTCACTAAGTTTGGTAAATTCTCTTATTACTTCAAATATTTCTTCTGTTCCTTTCTTTCTTCTCCCTCTGGGATTCCCATCACGCATTTGTTTAGTAACTGCCCCATGCTACTGGTTTTTCTTTTTTCTTTCTTCCTACTGGCTTTCGCGTCTTGGGCGTGCATGTACTTTCCCCTGTTCCTGCATATGGAAAGGGAAGTGGTGGTTTTGTGTCCCCCAACCTGGTAGCCGTCTGTTACTATGTCAGGGCCTGTAAACTTGTATTCACTCTCCTATAATTTCTAACTATTCAGGGGAAGACTTCTCCTTCTTTCACTAAGCTCGCGTAAACCTCCTTTTCTGCTGAGTGTTTCCAGCAAATAAACTTCATCCAGAAACTAGATGGCAGTCTCTTGTTTTATGCAGCAAAAAGTGAAATCCAAGCCTGCAAATGGTGAGCCCCAGCAGGAACAACCAGCACTTGGAAAAGACCAGCAACGGAAAGCAACTCAAAACCACCCACAGGAACAAAGCAAGGCCCCCCTGGAGCAGAAGGGGAAGCTGCGTTCGTCCTCGTGGACAGGGTTCCAGACCAAGGCTGAAGTGGAGCAGGTGGAGCTGCCTGATGGAAAGAAGAGAAGAAAGGTCCTGGTGCTTCCCTCGCACCGAGGCCCCAAAATTAGGTGAGATGCAGAAGGTCCTGGTGCTTCCCTCGCACCGAGGCCCCAAAATTAGGT